CCCCAGGGTTTCCCAAAGATCATTTGGATAGAGTTGCCACCCCCCTCTCTCTCCTGCAAGCCAGAGAAGGTGATCTGATTTTTCCCGTGAAGAGAGCAGATGGATTAACAGAGACTAGACAATGGAGGAAGGAGGTGGGGACCCCAGGACGGACGAGCTCTAAAGCACAGGTGGAAGTGTGAGGCTTCCAGAGGGACGGGGAGCTCCGAGGGAAGGAGGGGCAAAAAGCCCCAGCCATAGGCACATCTATGGGTACCTCAGGGGAAATCACAGGAGATTAGGCCTGCAGGTCTACATTTCTCTGTGAAGTGGGAGACCATGTCCTGTGGGTCTGGGCCCTGAGGGTGCCCCCATCCTCTTCAGCAGCCTGTGAAGGAAAGCAACCTCTGGGACCCACCAGGTCACTTCACTCTCTGTCAGGCCCAGATGTTTCTGGTCCTCACCAGGGATCCACCCCTTTCTTTTCTGGGGAGGGCCACCTCCACAACTCCTGGCCATCTGAGTGCACAAGACCCACCTTTACTTTCTCTTCTCTGGACAGGGAGCATAGCCTGGTGAGTGGTTAAGAAGGCTAACATGGAGCCCAACGACCTGTGTTCCTATGCTGGCTCTGCCCCTTACTTGCTGTGTAACTTTGGGTGAGTCACATCGCCCCTCTGAGCTTCGGGCTCCTCACATATAGAACAGTGGTAATAATACTAGTCCCTGCACAGGGTTCCGGAGAAGTTTCAATAAGCAAATACAAGTAAAGCACTTAATATAGCACCTGGGACAGAGTTAAGGGCTCAGTATGTGAGTTATTTTTAATATAATTCAAATCAAAAATTAATTTTGCTTTTCATCACAGACTGGTTTTCTAAAAATACGTCAAGAGAGTTGACTGTAGGGGTGGGGCCTCTATTTGCTCAACCAAAAGTTTAAGAAAACTCCCTGCTGTGGGTTGCAGCTATATTTACCATGCTTTAGGGCAAAGTTTTCTTCCCATAGAGAGACCAGGGGCAGAAATCAGAAGTCCCAGTTGGCACATCCCTCGCTTGGCACAAGTTCAACTTTGCTGACAGCCCTCAGAGCCTCAGAAAACAGTGAGGTACTAGAGGATCGCTAAACACACACAGGAGGCCAGGAAAATACTCATAGCTTATGAGATTATAGCCCAAGACAATCTTTGATGTCCCCTCCACGGGGAAACTGAGGCCCAGGAAGGAGAAGGCCATGTGGGTTGGGGTCTCTGAAGCAGACTCCACTCTACTTCTAGCAAAGAGTGGCTCTCCTCCCCTTGCTTCCCAGTATCGGGCTCAGATGCACGCACATATCATCACCACCACTGTGGACCAGACCTGGGCTTGGCACTGGGGCTTTATCATTTCACTGAATCTCCCGAGGCACTTCCACTATTATCCCATTTCACAGATTGGCAAATTGAATCTAGAAGAGAAGACCCTTGCCCAGATCACACAGCTAGGAGGTGTCAGGGCTGGTGGTCCTCACTCCTCTGGTCTTCCTTATATCGTTCAGTCGACTACCCCAAGAAAAAGGACTTCAAGTCTCAGCCAGTGGAGGTGCCCCAGAAGTCATTCAGCTGGAGCAAGAATTCAGTCGCCTGGACTCAGATCAGCCTCTGGCTGGTGTGTTGCCAGCAGACACTGTTCTCAGCTGGAGGGCCCAGCTGTGGTCCAAAAAATGGAGGGAGCTGGGTGCGAAAGATAGTACCAAAGACTGGCTCTTTGGTATGTGTTTTTAATTAGACTTTTTATTTGGAGATAATTATGATTCATATGTACTTATAAAAAAAAATAATACAGAGGGATCCCAGGTGGTGACATCTTGCAAATCCCTAGGACAGTATCACAACCAGGATACTGACGTTGATACAGTCAAGCCCCAGAACATCCCCATGACCACAGTATCCGTCATGTTGCCCTTTATGGCCACATCCACTTCCCTCCCATCTCACCTCTCCCGAGCCCTGACGACCACTAACCTGTTCTCTCATTTTGTCATTTAAAGAATGTCATGGAAATGGGATCATCCAGTAAGTCATCTGTTGGGACTGACTCTTTGGTCTCTGGTTTTGAATGGGCTAGCTCTGCTGACCAGTGATCGGGGCTTGGACCTGGCTAGGAGGGAGAGCCCTGTCCATCTCCTTCCTGGGGGTGACAGGACACATCCCTACCCTAAAAGGAGGACTTTGGGCAGATTTAGATCTTAAGCTGTCAAAAAACAAAGTCTGCCATGATTGGGCCAGAACGGTTACTTGGGGGGAGGGAGGGAGGGTTGGGCCCTCTGAACCTCAGTTTTCCCACATGGTACGGCCCTCCTTTCCCTGCTGGTCCCAGTTTCCCTCTGCCCCTTGCCTTCCACCCAGGTTCACACCAGGGCCTGCCCTTTCCCCAACACATCTGCGGGTTCCTTCCCCGAGCCCATAATAGACCATTGTGTAAACAGGGCCTACGTGATCAAGACATGGAAAAAGGAAGCAGGAAGACATGGCAGGGAGCCACTTGGACTGTCAGAGCAATTAAACCCAGGAGCAGACTCCTGGAGGGCCCTCGCATGCCCGGGTAGGTCTGGGTCAGCAGGGCAAAGTGTCGGGCGGCTTCAGGCAGGACTTAATGGGCTCTGGCCCTGTGCTCTCATTAGCACACATTCCTGGCAAGCAGGGCCCCGCAGCTTCACATGGAGCGCTGTTAGCCCGGGCTCACCATCCTGCTGGGACCAGACCACACAATGGGGGTTTAACAGGAGAGAGGCTTATTCCTCTGCACAGTGACTTCTCACGGCCAGTGGCACCCATCTTTTATTTTTTTTTAATTTTATTTATTTATTTGACAGAGAGAGAGACAGCGAGAGGGGGAACACAAACAGGGGGAGTGGGAGAGGGAGAAGCAGGCTTCCTGCGGAGCAGGGAGCCCGATGCGGGGCTCGATCCCAGGATCCTGGGATCATGATCTAAGCTGAAGGCAGATGCTTAACAACTGAGCCACCCAGGTGCCCCGGCACCCATCTTTTTGCTCACTGTTTCCAGGGTGCAGCCCTCGTCTGTGTGGTCTCACCTCTCTCCCTACTCCACCCGTGTTCCGCCCTTGCCGGTGGGAGGAGGGAAAGGGGCAACAGGAGGACAAACCTTGACCAGAGGGTGCGCCTGGCACTGCTGCTCACTTCCTATTGGCTGGGATTTGGTCACATGATGACACCACTGCAAGGGAGGCTGGGAAGTGTAGTCCTTTATTCTGAGTGGTAGTATTCCCAACTAAACACCCAGGGCTTTATAGGAGAGAATAAGACTTGGGAAACTAATGACAGGTTCTTCCTCTGCAAAACAGGGATCACGAGAGCCATTCCTCCTCATACAGCATGCTTATGAAGGTCGTGAAGGTGAAACAGGTTGAGCACTTAGTGCCAAACTTGTAGGAAAACTCAGAATAAATGTTAGCTATCCTTATTTCTTTTTACCAAATGAGATCCTGCATGTGACACCCTGGCCCCATGCTGAGCACAAAGTATGTGTCGGGTCATGGGTGCTGCAGTTGCCATTGTTCCTGTTAGAGTCAGTTTACGACAGACTTCCAGCCCAGGGCTCTCTCGTAGACTCTATAGCCCTCTCCCCAAGCAGGTTTCCTCACAGACCCTGAATGATCTCCTGCTGTGGCCATGCGCTGCCCCCGTACTGCCCCCTCCAGTCCCATCCTTTCAGCCCCCAGACAGATGGTCCGGCCCTGCAGGAGTCACACCAGCTCAGCTGCAGGGAGTGGCTAATCCCTCTCGTGTGGCTTTTCTCGAATGGTCTGGTTTGCCATGCTTAGTCCCCCAGCATGGAAGGAAACTGGGGATGGCAGGGGTGACCCAGAACGGCCTGTCTCCTCTTGGCACGGATCTAGGATTCTGGCCCAGGCCCTGTAGGCGGTAGTGAAGAAGGGGAGATGGAGCCCCCGTATTCGAAGAATCAGAGTCAGAACACAGTGGATACTCTGGTGGCCTCACGAGACAGCTGTTCCCATATACCTTGTCCCCATGGCTTCTCTGCTCCCTCACCTGGTCCCGACACTACAGGGCACTTCTCCAACTACCTAAGAAAGAACCCATTGGCAAGGAGGAGGAAAGTGGGTGAAGGGGCGTTGTGGTCTCACACCTGCCCATATGGGCCTCAGAGAGTTCTAGAAACTTGTTATCCAGATTCTGACAGATGCCTCGTCTCAGGCCATAGTGAGCGGGCGGCTCACTCTCCCCTCAAAGGCAGGAGGAGTCAAGGCAGAAACTAATCTGGGCTAGAGAGAGCAGGACAGGCTGCCAGGGCAGCCTGGGTGGGCTTATGAGCCATGAACAGGGACAGTGTCAGGGTGAGGTCCAGTGGGCTGATGGTTAGGAGGGAGGACGTGCCTCCAGGCACATCCCACGAGGGGGCAGACGTAACTGAGGGTGGCAACAGGCTCCTTGTCAGGGTGGCAGGCAACCTCTGCAGCCCAGACCTGCCGTGAGCTTTGCTGCTCCTAAAGTTCATGGGGCAAGGCCCTGCTGTGTGCCTTCAGGACCCCTCCTGCCAGCCCTGGGCCTTCCAGCAGTTCGTGTGGGCTCCTTACCAACTCCAAACAGGCAGACACTAAGTCAAGGAAGAAAACAAAATCCACACAAACTAACACCAAAACATCTTGAAAGCTATTCCTGAGTGAAATCATCAAAGCGAACAATATGATGCTGCTCACATCTTTTAAACGACAAACGCCTGCTTTGGAGCTGTCTGTGGGCACATGTGTGAACGTGAAACTCAGTAGAGCCCGGAAGAAGAGGCACCGGAAGTTGTGCAGGTCCGGGTTCTGGAAGGGCCGGCCATGCTGTCCGTTCTTGGCGCCCACACCCCAGACCAAGCTCACTCGAATGGAATCAGCCACTCAGGCCGGAGCGGAAGGAAGACTACCAGGGAATAGGTCTGTGCCTCTGGACGGGAGCTCCCCCGCCCCCCCGCCACAGACTGATGGAACTCTCTCTCTCTCTTCTACCTGCAGGTGGACCTTTATAACTCGGACCCGCTCAACTGCCGGGCAGGTCTGAAGGTGTGCTTCGTCATCCAGCTGCTCAACGCCATCGCGCGGGTGGAGCGGGCCCTCCCCAAGCTGACCTTGCCCTTCCTGCTGCTCCAGGGCTCTGCCGACGGCCTTTGTGACAGCAAAGGGGCCTACCTGCTCATGGAGTCCGCCAAGAGTCAGGACAAGACACTTAAGGTGAGCAGCTGCCCCCCACTTCCCCAAGGCAGGGGGAAGGTGGCAACCCGTGGGGGCCCCCCTGGGGAATAAGCACCAGGAATCCCAGGCATCTGTTAATTCTAAGGGAGTGCGTGAGCCACTAGCTGACCGTTCTCGTGACCGAGCTTGAAAGGAAGGAGAGAACACTGAGAAGTTGTCAGGTCAGGAAGAGCACCCACAGCCGGGCATTGAGCAAAAGAGGCCTCCCGAGGGCATGTCTTCAGCTCTGTCATGACCAAGGGTCAAGGGCGTGTGTTCTGCCTGCCGCCCTACGTTGACCTTCTGCACCAGCAGCAACAGCTGAAGCCCAGCTGCCGCCACCAGGGGCTCTGAGCACAAAGGTGCGGGGGCCCTGGTGGGATCTGGTCTGCGAGGGACTCAAGAGCATGTCCCGCAGAGGGGACAGCACCTGTGGCCGTGTCAGACACAACAAACTGCAAGGGACCACCTCGGAGTGCCTTTCGCGATGGCAGATGTAGTCATGGGGTTAAGATGTGCCCATTTTGTCTGCCTGGTGGAACGGGGAAGAGCCCCCACTGGAGGAGCACCTGCTGTGTACCCGTCAAGCGACACAGCTGAAGGTGGCTCTGTGTGGCTGGCTGGGCAGACACAGCCCCGGGGCACCTTCCTGAGCAGACATGTCTTTGACCGTGCCGCCACAGCCTGAGCAACCACACGTGGGGGCCCTGCGTCCAGGGCCATTTCCTGCTCGGTTATAAGAAGAGCAGGCAAGTCGCACAGAGCCCACACCTACTCAGTGGTGGGGTTGGGATTCGAACTCAGGTCCTCTGCTCGAGCCCCCGGCCCTCTCCACCCTGCACCTCGCTGACAAAGATGCTCGCATCCCTGCCAACCATCAAGTGCTCCCCTTGTACCATTAGGAAGTGCAGACCCCGGCCCACACCAACCAGCAGATGCAAATTCGTGGATGAAGAGAAAGGAGAAAAGGGAAAGGAAAGCAGCCTGGTGTCAGTGGCGGAGGGCATGAAAAGGCAGGTGGACCTGCAGCCGGGGAGGGACCCTCCCGCTGCCCACCTCGGCCTTGGCTCCAGGAAGACCACTCAGTTCATCATTAATTCAGCTACTCATGGGCACCTACTCTGTGCCAGGCCGGGGGAACCGACAGGCCAAGTCCGACTCTCCCATGCGGCCTGTGTCCCAGCAGGATGAGCAATAAACAGAAACCTGACCAGGATGATGATGCAGGGGGTCAGTGCCATGGGTGGGCTGGGTGATCAGAGGGAATGGTGAAGCTCTTACTTCAGATGGGGTGCACAGGGAGAACGGCAGAAGAGCATTCCTGACCGAGGGAGAATGAGCCCAAAGACCCCAGGTTGGCGAGATCGCGGTGTGTGTAAGCAGCCAACAGGGGGCGCTGTGAGCCAGTCAAGGGAGTGGTGGCCTGTGTCACTGGAGAGTCAGGACGTTTTCTCTCCGTTCCATGGGGGCCGCAGGAGCGTCTGGAGCTGGAGAGCGGCCTGTGCTGACTTCAGTTCTCCAGGCATCCTCACAGCTGCCATATGGAGACAGGAGTGGAGGGCGGAGGCCAGCCGGGAGGGACAGTGATAGAGGGACCAGGGCGAGCCCCGGGTGGTGGGCTTCGCGGCATGTGTTCTGAAATGGGGAACACTGGGAGAGAGAGCTAGGGAATATTGAGAATTCCATTTTGAGCTACCTATTAGAGAGTCCCATTAGAAATTTGAAAAAAGACCAGGGTGTCTGGGTGGCTCAGTCAGTTAAGCATCTGACTCTTGATTTCAGCTCAGGTCATGATCTCAGGGTTGTAAGATGGAGCCCTGCATCAGGCTCTGTGCTGAGCATGGAGTCTGCTTAAGATTCTCTCCCTCTCCCTCTGCATCCCCCCACGCTTTCTCTCTCTTCAGAGGAAGGAAGGAAGGAGGAGGGAGGAAAGAGAAAAAGAAAGAAAGAAAGAAAGAGAGAGAGAGAGAGAGAGAGAAAGAAAGAAAGAAAGAAAAAGAAAGAAAAGAGATAAAAGAAAAGAAAGAGAAATTCAGAAAAAGAAAGGAAAGCAGGGTCTTTAAAAGATACTCACACACCCACGTTCATAGAGGCATTATTCACAGCAGCCAAGAGGTGGAAGCAGCCCAGGTGTCCATCGATGGTTGAGTGGATAAATCAAATGTGGTCTAGACCAACAATGGAATAGTGTTCAGCCTTAAAAATGAATGAAATTCTGACTCACGTCACAACATGGATGAACCTTGGGGACATTATGCTCAGTAAAATAAGCCAATCACAAAAGAAAAAGTACCATATGATTCCACTTGTGTGAAATATCTAAAGTAGTCAAAAAAACATAGAAATAGAAAGTAGAACGGTGATTACCCAGGGCAGTGGGGAATGAGGAGAGGGAATTTAACGGGGCCAGAGTTTCAGTTTTGCAAGATGAAAAATTTCTAGAGATTTATTGCACAACCACATGAATATACTTAACACTACTGAACTGTACACTTAAAAATGATTAAGATTGCAAATTTTATGCTATGTTTCTTACCACAGTATTAAAAAAAGGAAATTTGGAGGTGCCTCTTAGCAGTCCCGCTGGAAGTGGCAGTCAGTCAGTCAGATACACACATCTAGAGTTCAGAGAGAGGTCTGGCTGGAGATAGAAATTCCTGAGTCACCAGCACATGGATGGTTTTCAAACCACGAGACCGGATGAGATTACTCCAGGGAGGGAGAAGGAGGGCCACGGCCACGCCTGTGGGCCACGCCAGCCTGCAGAGGTCAGCAAGGCCATGGGTAAGCCTAGACTGAGACGGGGCTGCTACCGAGGCAGGTAGATAACCAGGAGGGTAGAAAGCCGCAGTGCAAACCACAAGGGGAGAGCGTTTCTAGAAGGTTAACTCTGGTCAACTTTTGAATGAAGCTGAGAAGTTAAATCATATGAAAGCAAACAGTGTTCCCTCACTCCTGCAATGTGAAGGTCACTGGAGCCCGTGCCAAGAACACTCGCTAAGGCTGGTGGGAGTGAATTCAGGTTGGAATAAGCTGAGCACCAGATGGAAGGCGGGGATGTGTAGACAGAGAGTAGAAATCACCCTTTAGAGATGGAGGCATAGACGGGTCTGTAGCTAGAGAGAGAAAGAGAGTCAAGGGAGGGTGTGAGTTGATTTAAGAAAGGGAGCGCTAGAACATGATGGGACATTTAAATGTATTTGAACCATCATCTGATCAGAAGGCGATGGCAGCATAAAGAAGGGAGCTCTCGGTGCACGGGGTGCACCTGGAGCACTGGCTGTGCCACCCCCGGCCCCCTGCCTGCTCTGTCCCCTCCCGTGGCCCTGACTTCCTGTCTTTCCCGATTGCAGATTTACGAAGGTGCCTACCACGTTCTCCACAAAGAGCTTCCTGAAGTAACCAACTCCGTCTTCCATGAAATAAACCTGTGGGTCTCCCAAAGGACAGGGGCGGCGGGAACAGGGTCCCCCCCCTGAGCGCACCGGCTTCGTGGCCGGCCCACGGTCGGGGAAATGGGCAGAGGACGGGCGGAAGCTGGCTTCTCACATGTGGCTTGCCAGGGGGAGGGGGGAGGAAATCACAAATTGGAGGAATCCCTAGCACAATTTTGTCCTATACCAGGCTGTCCGCTTCTGGGTCTACTGTAAGGGGTAGACACTTTGTGTAAAAACAGAGAAGGGCCACAGGTAATTTCCCGGGGATGGAATGTGCTCCAATGTCCTTAAAACCAAGCGAAGCCTCTGCCCTGCCCCTCCCACTGCCCCCCCCCAAGGTTCCCAGGAATTCCTGGTGTTCCTCGGACACCTGACTGCAATAATTGGAGGAGTCTCCACTCCTGCCCTCCCCGCCAGCCCCCACCCCAGGACCCTCCCCAACTGGCCCCGCTCTGTGGCCTTTCTCTGGCCGCGGGACGAGGTGGCAGGTATCAGCTCCTCCAGGGCAGACGCACGTGCCCTCCGAGGCCCAGAAAATGCCCGGGACTTCCTTGCCGTGAGGAGCCACCCGTGACCCATGTCAGCTCCTGGTCAGCCTGGAGCTGGGCTTTGGGACAGGAGGAGGCTTGGCCCAGAAAGAGAACTGGGCAGAAACCCCCTCCTTGCTGCCAGGGAGCCTGAGGCTGCCCACCGAGTGCTTTACATATATTCAGAGACTGCCTTTCCTTGCGTGACTAACGGTACCTGACACCATGAGAGGGTAACTGTGTTGAAGATGAAGTGTCTAGTATATAATGTATCTTCTAAAGCAGAGACTATTTAGGTGGGTGGGTGGGACCACGGGGGGCTTGAAGGCGTTGGAGCCTGATGCCCCTGCACAGGACAGGGACAGGCTGGCCGCAGGGCCCGAGGTTGAGGCGCCGGGGTGCAGCCCTGGGAAGTGGGGCCCCGAGCGGCGGCAGTGGGCGCTGCCGGGCCTATCCCTGCCTGGGCCCGTAGCCGCCTGGGAGCCTCCGTGCCAGCAGCACAGCTACCTCTGGTGGCAGAAGAGAGAGTCCCGACGCAGGGGCCCTGCCCAGGGCCGCAGGCCCCGGAGGCCACGGCCGCATGGGCCCGCCTTTCCCAGCAGAGGGCCCCGCAGCGCCTGGCCTGCCTTTCTCAGGGGCCAACACCACCCTGCCCGCCCCGGGCCCTCACTTGGCGCCAGCAATAAATGGGGATCACCGCCCACTGCCGGAGGACTTTCACCTTCAAAAGGGACTGTTGTTACCTCAGGAGGCTCCTTAGTGCACATATGAATATGACCCTGGGAGGGGGTGGAACCACGAGGGGGCGCCTGCTCGGCCGCGGGGTGCAGTCCAGGGGCCTCAAGGCCCTGGATGAGGCGGCCGCTCCCCTGCCAGGCCCTCTGACTTTGGAGACTGGGAGTTGGGGCTCCCACCCGTGTTCCTTCAGCGGTGGGAACTGCTGCCTTTCACCCACGCCCTGTTCTTCTGGGGCTTGCTCCGGGTCCCCAGAGACGGGGTCCCCCTGCTCGCCTTCCAGGGGCCCTGACCACACCATGGTGTAGCCAAGCGCTAGTCACCCTCCAGCGGGCAGACCCCGGCCCCCAACAGAAAGTCCTGCTGGCCTGGGGGCTGAGGTTTGTGTTCCCCTGGCCCTCTGGTGGGGGCGGGGGCGGGCAGGGCCCACGGCCACAGAGAGAGACTTTCACTGCCCCATCTCACCTCTCTGGCTTCTCTTTGGATGAGAAAAATGTAAAAAATGCACTGAGGGAGAAGGCCAGCCCCCGCCTATTCAAACTGTGCCACTGTGTGAATGTTTCTGCTCCTCAGCTGAGGAAAAGCAGAAACGCCACCCACAAACCCACAAACCCCCCAAACCTCGAGACGCCCCTGACCCAGAATTCTCGCCCAGAGCTGTGATAGCGCGGGTCACACAAAGTCGCTGCGCCTCCCACCCCCGCCGCCTCTCCCAGAGCATGTGCCAGCTTGGCCATTTCTCAAATTAAATATCAGGCACATGGTTTGACCGGGAATCATTTGGATTCATGAATTTATTTATATGAAAGCTCTGACAGAGACAAATTCAGTCACCTTTACATATCTGATTAAAGGTTAAAAAATTGCCAATACTAAAAAGAAAAAAGAATTATTTGGAAGCAGGACTGACTCCTAATATAGGAGGGGACGGGGACGTGGCCACACTGGCTGTGAATGGGAGCAGGTGTGGGAGGCACACACCAGCTGGTGTGAAGTCCCACCTGGGGCCACACCAGGGCCATGGGCCCGCCTGTCCTGGGGGAGCTGTGCAAGTCTCGAATTGAGTTCATTCTGTGTGGACGGCTCCGTGCTGACACTGGGAGCTTCAGAGTCAGGCTTTCACCACGACAAGGAGCTGAGTTTGGAAGGGAAGCGAGGTCATACCTGGCCCGGCCTCGAAAAGGTGAGAGGAAGGACCCAGGAGATGCGCACCTATCGGGACCCTAGGCCCAAGCACTGGCGTTGGGTGCATCACCTTCCTCTGGAGTCATGCTGGTCCATACAGAAACCATGGGGTTCATGCCTGACAGTCTCTCTAGGAAAAGATGCCCCCTGCAGCGGGAATGGGAGGGTTTGCTCCTTTGCAGGGATGGGGGTGGTCACTGGTTCCCCCGCCCAGCTTCTGGGGGGCACCAGGGCGTGCCTCGAGAGCACTGAAGGATGCCAGGAAAACCCGCCTGCTCTGCTCTGCACCCGTGTCAAGGTCCCACGCTACTTTTCTCTCTTTCACCAATCACTAACATAAACCCGTTGGGGTCACCGTGATCTTCTAAGCAGTTTGCCAGTTACTGTCTCTGCAGCTCAGCCGCATCCCTCTGTGTGTACCGTTACTGGGGACTCATGATCAGTTCAGAACTATCAAAGGAACCATGTATGCCAGAGTTAATCCTAATAAACCGGGTGTTTTCTGCACGGTGGTGTTGTCCGTCTGTCCGATCCGAGACCACAGCGCTCCCTGTACAGAGAACAGCAGGCCCTCTTGCAGGCCAGTATTGCTGTCTGGGCTGAGCCAGTCATCTGACCCAAGCCTGTGGGTAGGGACTGGATTTTCCCTCCTCCGTTCTTGGGGACTTGTGCCCAGAGCAGACTGCACGCGTGCTCTCTCCTCCCGACTTGGCTGGGGCCGCCCCCAGCTCTAGACTCCATGGTTGCTGCCCCCCCCTTGTGGCCCCACCCAGGCGGCTCCCCTTGGCTGCCCGCCCGTCTCAGCTCTCCTGCTGCGGGGCCCAGGGCTCTGCACGCCCTCCTCCACTCCTGTGTCCACAGTCAGCTCTGCCTCCACCTCCGCCTCCAGGGTAGGGCTACAGGCCACTTCCCTCCGGCCCTACTGCTGCTTCCTTCCCCTCCCGCCAGAGGGCGACAGCGCCCTCCTCAGGGGCTGCCCTTCCTGCCTTCCCCACACAGCCACAGGAGGGGATGTCGAGTCCGAGGTGGCCCTTCTCGCTCACAACCCGCCCGTGGCCTCCCAGCCTTCACCCTCTTCCTCCCGTGTCCACCAGCCCACACACACCAGCCTCCCTCCTGGCCACCTCGGAGGCCTTTCCTAAAGCCAGCACACCCACCCTGGCTCCTTCCCCACCTGCTGTATCTGACAGGATCTGTGTTCTGCTTGACCACACAGTAGCTCTGTCCCTCCACCAGAACTGAGATGCAGGAGGGTGTGTGTGGGCTTGCATTAGGCCTCCGGTCTCCAAACTTGTCCAATGAGGGAGGGGCTGAGGGAGGGAAGGCCTGCTGCACCAGGCACGATGCAGGCCCTGGGGCTGCCCCCCAAAATGAGGACAGATGGACACAAACCTCCACGCCAGTGCCCAACAGTTGTGGGGGCAGGAAGAGGGGCAATGAGAGCACAGGGGACCAGCCCAGAGGCGGCCCTGCAGGACAGCAGAAAGATGAACAGCAGTGGGGTGCACAGGTCCTGTGGCAAGAGGGCTCAGGACAGGACTTGAGGGTGGAGGGAGCTCAGGTTGGCACCAACAGCAGCACCCAAGGACAGTGCAGTGAAGGTGTCCACTGGGGCTGGTGCAGAGTCAGGACCAGCCACAGGGAGCCCACAGCCCTGACTGGAGGGGCTGTTGGTGGAGCACAGTGCTGCCCCTGTAAGAGGGGCGGCCACCTGTCAGGCCGTGGCCTCAGGTAGAGGGCACAGCCATGAACAAAATGGAGGCTAGCGGGGAAGGGCAGCCTGGCCTTTCTCCTCCCACCTTCCCCTCTCACTGCAGGGAAGTCTTAATAAGCACATGGTCCAAGATGGCTGCTCCAGCTCCTGCGACTGTGCCCTCGTTCCAGCCCATAGGAGGGTAAGAAAGGAAAGGGGCAGGCATGTACCTTTCACAGAATAAGCCAGAGACCGCACTTAGTATCTCAGCTCACATCTAGAACCCGGTGGCACAGCCAGGTGCCCACAGAACAGGACAGGCTCTGGCATCAGGGGGCACGCAGACTCCACCTGAGAACAAAGTGCCTGCACTGAGGCTTTCAGGGACAGGAGGCCCAGGGTCAGTATCTGCCTGGAAGATGCCAACAGGGGGCGAGAATGAGCTGGAGGTGAGGCCCGGTCCTGGGGCCGGGACAGGGGGCAAAGAAGGGAATCGGTGGCTACTGAAGAGGTAAAATCAACAAGGTTTGGTGACCCTTGAGGGCCAGGGGATCTGGAGGGAACATAAAGAACACATGCACATCTCCAACATGCTACAGATAAGAAAAGCTTACAAAGTATGCCCCAAATTGTCCCTGTTCTATCTTCCAGGAAAGAATGGAAATTCACAGTGAAATTCACATTGGTTGAGCTGCCACTCCCGGTGGGAACTTCCTCCGAGGTGCCCCACAGAATTTCTACATGAGCTTTGGGTGGTTGGTAGTGTTCCTCTCATTCAGACCGGTCAGCAAACTGCGGCTCTGAGGGATTCAGTGATTGGCTCAAAGCCAGTGCAGATTCGGGGCCGCAGCTCAGGTGTCCTAGACCCTGGTGCAGGATCCCCCTCCCCGCCAGAGGAGGAAGGCGGGCGACAAAGCCCCAGTTGCAGGGCCCGCAGATGCAATGCTCAGATCTTAAACCACCAGGAGGACCTGGTACAGCCTGAGGGTGGCTTCCTGGCTCAGAAGTAGAAACTCCCAGAAGCCTGAGGGC